CTCTTTCTTTCAAAGGAACCAGTTGACTGCCAGTGGGTCATAGGATCATAGATTGAGATCATAGAAGAGGCTTAGTCCAAGCCCCACATTTTACAGATGAGGAAACAGAGAGACTCAGAGAGGTTAATTAAACGACTTTCCCAAAACACAAAGATGGTAAGGGGCAGAGCTGGCATTTGAAGTGAGACACTCTGATTCCAGATTCGTTCATTGGACCATGCTGCCTCTTTGGCCAGTGTGAAGGGTGAGGAAGAGGACTATAAGACAATCCTGAAAACCAGGAGAATGACTTGTCCAGAGCAGGGAAGAAGGGTGGGTAAGAAAGGGGCATGATTATGGGGAGCTTGGGGATCCCACAACCAGAACTCAAGGTCAAAGGAGTAGGTTTTGGAAGGACTGAGACATTTGGCAGCCTTGGCAAACTAAATCTATCAGCTAGGAATGTTTGATCTAGCAGGCAGATGAGACAGGATTCGGCCAAGACTTAGGGCAAGAGCTGGAGAAAAGGGGACCGACTCTGTCAGTCAGCAGAGTGCTATGGAAGATGGAGATTTTTTTCCTATAACATTGGTATATGGGCTCAGTACCCAATGAAAAGACCTTTGTAGACTTATAAATGTTTTCTCTTCATTTAATAGTAAAAATAATTAAAACCACCTAAAAGGAAAATCCTGCGTTGTTTACAGGGAACAGAACAAGAGAAAAGGAAAACAAAAACCAAACCCTGTGTTTTCTTTGGTTGGAAAAGCTAGGGGGGCAAGAATGAAAACCTCAAGTGGAGAGGCATTAGGAGTGAGAACCCACAAAGATGTGTCATCAAGCAAAGTCCTGGTGCTGACACAAGAGAAGTATGGGCTTTCAGGGTGTAAGAAATAGAAATGAAGGTGAAGAGGGGATAGAAAAAGAAAGCAAGGAAATGTAGTCAGGGAGAAAGGACTTCCTTCTCAAAGGAAATTCAGCTCCTTCCTCTAACCCCCGGTTATTTTCTTACATGAGTTGCCAACAGACTTGCAGCCCACACCAAACACCATGTCCTAAAAGCTATAAACACTTTAATCTGGGCCCCTCTGTCCTGATGGGTGACTTTCTCTTCTGGCCCATTCTTTCAGAATGGTTCTAGTTATGCCTCACTTCCTGCACTACTCTTCCTACACTCTAGCTAACTTTATTAACCCTTTACAGCTGCATACTTCCTTCCCCACCTTCTTGTCCTGGAACCATGACCAAATCATCATTGTTCCCAAGGGAAACTATATTCCCACTCACCATCCTGGTAACTTTCAGGACCAAAATGCCCCTCACTGGCAATCACTACCATATATACAGTCAATTCTCAACTTTTGCAGGAGTACTGTTCCTAGAAAAAGGTGCAAAAGTCAAAAAAAATCAAATGTTGATACATTGAACCTATGGGAAGTAGGGGATTTGGTTCCTATGATCACCAAAAACTGTAATCATTCACTAGAGATTGTTGAAAATACTTTTTTTGCATACAATTCTTTATAACAAAACATTGATAATATGCTCTTTTCGTAACACAGTAACCATGAAATAACCCATAAAATGCAGTACACAAAATAAAATTGGTAACATGCAAAACATTTTTTCTCACTAGTAATTCCCTAAAATTCTGTGATATTTTGTGCTCACATTTCCAAAAAAAAACCAAAACTGATTTCAGACAATACTATACTATACTATATCCCTTTACCTTAGGGGAAACCAAGGGAGAGGCTACTGGGACTTTAGTTTCTGCTGTTAGAAGACTGGTGAAGAAAGCTCGATAAGATAGGGTAAACAAGACCAGTGAAGCACCTAGTAGGGTACCAGCCACTCCACAAACTTGCATGCATCATATCTCTCATTTTTTTTTTTTGCCTCTACTCCACATAACCCCAAATGTGCAAGGCTGCTAATGCAAAAGTGAAAATTAGGTCACTAATAAGACCACTGGAATGCTTGAAGTAGTGAAAGTTAAATGTGTGAATGTTGAGGACTGTATGTTGTCTCTTCTTATTACAATGTAAATTCCTTTAGAGGAGGAGTCTATTGTAGTTTTTGCCTACCCTCTCCTCAATACTTCTCCTCTCTGGGTTTCCATGACATTTCTCCCCTACTCTCTCTCAATAACTTCATCAGCTCCCATGGGTTTAACTATAATTCCTATGCAGATGACTCCTAGATCTATATATCCATCCTCAGATTCTCCCAAGAGCTTTTGTCTTATATCACCAATTGCCTTTTGGATATTTCAAACTGGGCCTCCCAGAAATATCTTAAACTCAACATACGTAAAATTAAACTTATTATTTTCCCCCAAACCTTTCCTCTTCTAAACTTCCCCATTTCTGTCAAAGATACCTCCACCACCATCCTTCCAGTGACCCAGGTTCCTAATTTTAGTATTATTCTTGACTCCTCACTGTCCCTTACCTCACATATCCAATCAGTTGCCAGATTTTGCTGTCTGTGCCTTCACAACATCTCTTGCATCTGACCCTTTGTCTCCAATCTCAGCTACCACCTTAGCTCTGCCCTTAGTTCAGGTAAAGGTACTAGGTCCTCTAACCTAGAACACTGCAAATGCTTCCTAATTGGTCACCTTGACTCAGGTCTCCCACCACTCCAGTCCATGCTATACATTGCTGTCAAAGAAATTTTCCTTAAATCCAATTCTGACCATATGGCTCCCCTAACCAACTAACACTAGTGCCTTCCCATTACCTCTAAGATAAAATATAAACTCCTCTATTTAGCTTTTAAAGCCTTTCACAACCCTACAATTTTTATACTGTCTTCGGATATTACACTCCCTCCGTCCTTTTGAGATCCAGACTAACTGCTCTTCTCTGTCTTCATTCACAACACTTGCTCTCCTGTCTCCATCTATGTCTTTGCATTGGCCATCCCCATGCCTGGAATGCACTCTCTTTTTACCTGCAACTCATTGGTACCATCTCTTTCCTAAAATACAGCTCAGACACCATCTTCTGCATGAAGCCTTTCCTAATCCGCTAATTGCTAGCGTCCTTCTTCTCATAGTGTCTTTTATTTAACTGCTATATATCTGTATTGACTTTTTATTTTTGCCGCACATACTTTTATATGTATTTATTGTCTCCCCCATTAGAATTTAGGCTCATCTTGAGCAGGGATCATTTCAGTTTTTGTACTTGTATTCCAAGCAAGTAGCATAGCGTTTGGTACGTAGTAAGCTCTTAATAAATGCTTTTCATTAATTCATTCATTTGTAATCTTGAATAAGAAAAGATTAGACCAGAAGGTAAGGAAGATTGGATACAGCTGGTCCTTAAAGGGTCACATAGTCTTGAAGTTAAAGGGTTTTTCCATGCAAAGGTGGTATTACTTGGCTACAAGAGACGCCCCTCCCCCAAACCCCACTTCCCCAAGAAGTTTGCCAGTATCATCAAGGTGCCCCCCTAAGTGGGTTCAGGAAGCAGGCTCCTTAAAACACACTCACAGAAAATTGCACAGTTAATTTGGAGACTGCGACATAACAAAAATCAGTTGAGAAAAGGGAAAAAACAGGTAAGGCAGCTGGGAGTTTTTAAAGAAGGGAGGTGGGAAATATTCAAATGTGTGGAGAGAGAAAGTTCTGAGCATTACTGTCCACTTGGTGGAACCCTTGATGCTGGGGAGGAGGGGTTCACCAGGCTACCCTCAGGATCCCTTCGAAGACTCAGTGCCTCTAATCAGAGCTAGCTAGGTGGTACAATGGATAGAGTGTTGAACCTAGAATCAGGAAGAAATCCAGCCTTAGACACTTCTTGGCTGTGTGACCCTGGGTAAGTCACTTAACTTCTGTTTTCCTCAGTTTCCTCAACTGTAAAATAGGGATAATAATGGACCTACATCTAGGGGTTGTGGTGAGGATCAAACGAGATATTTGTAAAGTGCTTAGCATAATGTCTGGCACACAGTAGGTGCTATATAGATGCTTACCTCTACCCCCCTCGCCCCTTTTCCTGTGACAATCTTCTGGAAGAGAGGTGGTGGTAGGACTCAGCGTGCAGAATGAGACATGTTGTTTTGGACATGGCCAATGTGGTAATTTGTTTTGCTTGACTATGCAATTTGTTACAAAGGTTTTGTTTTTCTTTTTTCTTTTTCTTTTCTATTGGAGAAGTGAGGAGGGGATGAGAGGGTAAAAAAAAGATTTTGGTTAACTAAAAAAGGTAAATTAAATTTTTAGAAGTTTTAAAAAACAAACAAAAAGGCTCATTGCCTCTCTGCTTTTCCTGGACTCACCAAGTCACCTTCTGAAGTATATCTGGTTTCTCAAACAGTTTTCCTTATTGAAACAGATAGGCAAGCTGACTGAGCCAAAGGCTCTAGTTTTTGTCTTTCTGCCAGTTACAATTTTCAGAGTTAGCTAGGAAATTGACAGTATTATGACACTCTCTGGGAGTTTGGTTGACTTAAATCAATGCCACCCCTCCGGCCCCTTATTGCAGGTGGACTGACTGAGTTTCTGAACCTGCAAAGCTGAGGTCCTGCCCAAGGATCAGTAGTCGCCAAGGCCTGACCTGAATCATTACTGCTATTGGGAAGCTAATAATGATGGCATGGATAGGGAGGGGTCAATTACTCCTGTACTTCAGTGATTAGCTGATGGGCACAGATGCAGTGGAAGTGTGGAAGGCAAATTATTATTCCTTCCATGACCCAGGCACAAATTTTTGTTGTGGAACTGGAGACAATAGAGTAAAGTGCTTTACATTCATAAAAGTGCCAAATTATTATCTACTATGGTTAGTTCAGTCAAGGAAGGCCTTCTGGAGATGGGGAATATACCTCAGCGTCATGTGTCCAAAAGCATGGGTGAGAGGTGGGGAAAGGGGCAGAAGGGATGGACAGGAAAGGAATTGAGACAAAGATAGTTTTGCTTGGCTCTGGCAAGTGTAGAGAAATTGTTGCAGTGGCCTGAGCCCCTGAATGTTCTGCCCAGGGATCTGACCTCCTGTGATCTTGTTCATTACCTGAATCTCCTTTGTCTCCTTTTGCACCTGGTGCTCCCTTAATGCCAGACAAGCCTGGAAGTCCTAGACATCAAATGAAATACAGGGATGGTTAGGAGTGCGTAGAGACAGTCTTCAGGAGTTCCCATAAAAATCAAGAGATGGAGCAGCACAAGGTATGCTTTTTGAAGACAGGGACCATCTGGTTTTTGACTTTGTATCCTCAGTGCCAGGCTCAGTGCCTAGCACAACGTAAGCCCTCACCAGGTGCTCATGGAGTTGAACTGAATTACCTGGTGGTCCAGGGGGGCCATATTTGCCAGATTCTCCCTTGGCACCAGAAACTCCTGGCAAACCTGGTATTCCAGGGACACCCTTAGCTCCGGGCTGACCTGAAAGTAAATAAAATCTTCAAGTTACTGGTCATTTTAGTGACATTGTTACATAAATTTAAGGGACAGCCTCTGTGCTCTTGTCCTCAAAGGTCAAAGATTTGCCCTCCCCCACCCCTAAACATCCCAGAACACACCTTTAAACATCTCACTTCAGAAAGCTTCAGCTGTGACTCAACTGCCCACTAGTAAAGACATCCATGGGGATTTGTTTATTCATTTTTTTTAATCTACTGGCAGATCAAGGCTGTTGATACTTATGTGCTTGTTAGAGACCATGCTTTGGATTTTGATAGCACTATCTTTCCACTGGAGAAGAAAGAGGAAAGCGTAATAGAGAATTTTAATCAGTCCCGCCCCTTGTTTGCTTCTCAGCTGCTTTAGAGGAACTGGACTTTTTAGAAACCCAGATCCCTGTAGAGAGCATCTCCGGGTTAATTATACATGGAAAACACACACACACACACACACACACACACACACACACACACACCTTCACACATACACACATATGCTGAGGAATGCTGAAACAGAGAGGGTTTCTCAGGCTGACCCTGAGCTGGGGTTCTGTTCAGCAATCAAGATGCTTTGGGGACTTGATAAACACCAGATGTTAGTAATGGTGGCAAGACTAAAGCTAATGCAGCTATCATTCTTCCTCTCAACTCTTACCTGGCTCTCCTTTTGGCCCAGGGGACCCATTCATTCCTGAAATTTAAAAAAAAAAAAATTTTCAGGCAACCTTTCCCACAGAGTCACCTTAATGGAAAATGGGGCATCTGATCATATGACATCTTACCAGTTTTTCCTGGCTCCCCAGAGACACCCTGTAGACCAGGTGACCCTGGATGTCCCATCACACCTCTATCTCCTTTCTGGCCCATTTCCCCTTTGCTTCCTAGGAAAACAAGAAAACATAAGTTAGACTTAAATAGAGGACAATGATGACATCTGTTTTTTTTTTTTCTTACTTCTAATCCATTTATTTATTTATTCAACCAGCATTCATGAGGTACTATTCTAGATTCTGGAAATACAAAGACAAAAATAAAATAATGTCTGTCCTCAAGGTGTTTACATGCTATTGGGGAAGGGAAGAAACAGAAAATACACAGAGAAGGAAATATAAAATATGTGCAAAGATGATAGCATTAGAATTTAAGTTCCTTGAGACCCAGGACTATTTCACTTTCATCTTTGTA